TTAGATCTTAAACATACTTATGTTTGACAAGAAAATGTACAACGTGAATTGGTCATATGGTCAGCACAAACCTCTCTTTGTAGTCGTGGGAAAATAAGCTGCTCCAAAACATGGTCCAGAATCCACAGCGGCAATACAGGAGCCCAGCACTCCACACAGTCCACCATGGGCCCCACGTTTCTAGGCTGCCACTGAGACACACAGCTCCTCATGACTGGAACCAACACTTCCCATATCAACCTGCACACAAACCTCCTGCTCGAGTCATTTGCTTCCACAGACACTCCACATACACACTTCCAGATATGGGTTACCTGTGATAGGGGTCCATGTTAGAAGTGTCTGGGCCACCATGAAGAGATTGCGAGCTTTCAAGAATGGCTCTCCACTGACCGACTTCCTCTAAACCATCTGAACAGTCCTATAGATAAACAGAGAGAGTGCAGAATTCATATGTAATAGTCCAGAGCTTATACAAAGTATGAAAACAATAACAAAATCAATGATGATTAATACAAAGATCTAACGAGATTTTCGAATAGTTTGCGACTACTGGACTTCTTAAAAATATATTTTTAAAATTATATATAAAATGTTATAATATATTCAACTAGAAAACAGTTATTTTAATGTGTAATATTATTTCACGATATTAATTTTTTTAAACTATTTTTAATAGTGCCGTCAAACGATTAATCGCATCAAAAATAAAAGTTTTGGTTTACATAATATGTGGGTTTACATAATATGTGGGTTTATTGTGTACATTTATTATGTATATATAAATACACATGCATATATATATACAGTGGGTATGGAAAGTATTCAGACCCCCTTAAATCATAAACGACGAATGCAGACTAATATAATACTATTGAACTACATACGTTTTTCGAGAGATTTCTAACAGTTTCATCTGTTCTTATTTAAATGTAAGATGCGAACTCTTAAATATTTATTATCAATAACTTAAAAAAAAAACTATTTCAGTCCTATTTAGAAGTAGAGGAAGTAGAGCTTTTAACTTTATGCTAAGAAAAAAAAATACTATGTATATATATATATATATATTAATTTTTTTTTTTTAAACAAAAATTTTAGAATTGTATTTGTATGTATTTATATATACATAATAAATATACACAGTACACACACATATATTATGTAAACAAACAAAAAATATTTTTATTTTATTTATTTTGGATGCAATTAATTGCAATTAATCATTTGACAGCACTAATTTTTAACAAATAAATGCAGCCTTGGTGAGCATAAAGGACTTTCAAAAACATGAAAAAACCTTGCTGAGCCCAAACTTTTGAACAGTAGTATAAATACATACTATATAAAATGTATACCTTCAGTGGATCCCAGCTGCGAAGTCTCTCCTTCAATAAAGGATGCACCACAGACACAGCTAGGTCTCCCAAACCCAAGGTTTTATACTCTTGATAGAACTCTGTCTGCAGCTGTTGAAAAATCTTAGCGCACTCCTGAAGGCAGAGCGCAGGGTTGCCCTCCTTATCACCCGCTTCAAAACGATCCACCAGATTCATCACCTGCTCCAGCCGACCAAGAGCCTGTTCCTCCTCTGCCAGCCTGACCTGCAGTGCGTCGCTCTCATGGGTCAGGGTCACCACAGTGTCCTTTTCGTGCTGCAGACGTCGTGCACTCTATACACACACACACAACACAAACCCACAGACAGAAATTAAGAAAATTCATGCAGCCTTCACGTGCTATCAGAAATAATCATAAATACAGGTTTCCTGGTCAGAAATTAGACATGAACGGCCTCTCTAATCGTATTATACCTTTTGGCTTTAATAAGATTTGCCCAAGAAACAGGCAAGAATAAATAGGCTGTCCACCATGATTTCTGTTCTTTCCGACAACAAAGCACTTGACCACAACAAACTCATAATTACAACTTCAGAAGCAGGAATTAGGACGTTTCCAGTAGCACTTGAAGGCAGCATAAGGAGTTTTTAAGAACTAGCTTTTTGTCTCCGTCATTGACCAAAACAAGCATTTATTAAGAAGTTAATTATCATATAAATATGAGAAGATGTGAAGGCTTACAAACAGGCTATTAAATTATTTTTATTACATACAATTTTATAATTAGCATTATATTACTTAATTTATACAATATTATTTTATGTAAAATGTAAATTAGTGCAAGTTTATGAGTACTGTACCTGTAGGATGTCTTGCTCTGTCAGCTCAATGAGCAGTTCGAGGTTGTGTTCCAGCTCCGGTAAGGAGAAGCCAGAGGTCTTCTGTTCTCGTGTGCTCACACTCAAAGGGGCCTCCTCAGGAACACTGTGCTTCTGACTCATATGACTGTAACTGTGATACACCTTCTGCTCTCTGCCTGTCATATCGATCACCTGAAACACAGGAGGGATGGGTTAACTGTTTCTTGTGAGATATATAAGAGGTGCATTACTCCAAGTGTTCTGCACTCTCACCTTAACCTGAGCCAGTTCTCCAGCAGGTCTGCTCATGCTCCTGTTGGTCAGCTTGCCATGAGCTTTTAGCTCTTCCACAGTCTTGTAAGAATATTTGGGCTTTTTCTTTGCCGTTCCTGGTTCTTTACGCCATTGCCCCAACTCCCTCTGAAACTCCTTCAAAGATGGAATGAAAATGAAAAAATAAAAAATAAAAATTAAGCAAACAATTTGAAAACAGGGCTCTTGAAGAAAGATTTGACCTGCTGCTGATCTGTTTAGTCAAATGCTTTTTAGTTTCCTGACTCCATTTTGTATTTAAAAGGATCCCTTTATTTTATTTAAATTGCTTATTTGAATATGTGCTTTTTTTTTTTTACAATGCTGATTGAGCATTTGAATTTGATTTGTTCACTGTAACCACCAGGAATTTGCTCACGCTGACTTACTTTCTCTTCCTCCTCCTCAGAGTCTACAACAGGGAAATCCTGCAGGGACTGCTGGGTCCTCTCATTACCATATGCTCCAACCGCTCCCTTCCCCTTCCGCAGCTTCGCCTCAATCGGGTTCACAATACCTACACACAAAGATATTCATAAGAGGACATTAACATCATTACACCATCCCCAAGCAAGCACATGATGCATAACATAATTCACAATAAGCTAAAAGCAGTAAAACCAGTATACTGAGGTATGAAATAAAGGACTGAATTGTTTTACCTTGAGCATTTTTGCCCAATCCTTTTCCTGGAACGTAGCCCATCTTCTGCATAAGTTTTTGACCAATGCCTCGTGTGTGTTTCTCCCAGGATCCGAGGTCCTGCCCTGTTCTGATACCACCTGCAAACCTCTGGGATGTCTTAAAGCTCACACCCTAAAATAAAGAATTCAAAGACATGTATTACACTACTGTTCAAATATTTGGGATCAGTAAGACTTTTATATTTTGAAAGAAATAAATACTCTTATTCTACGAGCCAAAGACTCATTTAATTGATCAAATGTGACAGAAATGACATTCATTAAAGAATCCTCAAAACATTTCCACAAAACTATTAAGCAGCACAACTGTTTTCAACATTAATAATAAGAAGGAATGTTTCTTGAGCATCAAATCAGCATATTAGAATAATTTCTGAAGGATCATGTGACACTGAAGACTGGAGTAATGATGCTGAAAATTCAGCTTGGGAAAAATGTAATTTTAGATATTTTAAAATAGATAATAATTTTAAATAGTAATACAATGTAACAATATTACTGTATTTCTGATCAAATAAAATAAGACTTCTGGGCTTTCAAAAACATTTTTTAAAATGTGTATTAACCCTCATACTTTTGGATCCGATATTCAAAATTAAAGCCATTGTTATTGTGCATTGACATCTCACTTTACCGTTTGGAGTTTTTTGGGAGCAGCAGCGCGGGGTGGAGGAGGTGCATCTCCACTATCATTCGAGTCATCTGAACCCTCCTGCTCTGTTTTCTCCTCAGCTGCAGTCTTTCGTAGGCCACCACTCACAAAGTTCACGGGAGCTGAATAGTCTTTCGATCTGTGTGTATACAAATACCAATATTTAACATTGCCAGTGACATTTACAGCTTAGTCACTAAGGTCTCTAGCAGTTTAACAGCCGAAATACCTTTTCCCCCCAAAGCTGGGCCGCTCATCATCAGAGTCATGCTCTGCCCAAATCCCATAAGTCGCTTCTTCTTTAGTCTGTCTGTATCTGCGTCTGTCTGGGTTGAACTCATTGGCCAAGTCCCACTCGGTCACCTCAAACTTTTCAATTTCCACACCATCCTCCTCCTCATCACCTCTACGTCCATACAAATGGGACATAGACATCTCTCTGCTGGAATTAAACAGAAGAATGTTTTAGGCCAGGATTGTTTTAGGTCCATGGAAAATTTGAGAGAAAAACAGTGTAACAAATGTAAGATCAAATCAATTATAAAAAAAATAAGACAGACAGACAGATAGATAGATATTAAAACTAAAATACATCAAACAATGTAAGCGATATACAGACAATAAAGATATACGAATTATAGTCTCTCATGTATATAATATTATTTTTAAAGTATAACTTGGGTCTTTAAACATGAAAATATATCGCTGCCTTTTAACATTTTAGGATGATGATATTTGGGGGTCCGTGACCTAAAAGACTGAAAACCCCCGGTTTAGGCACAACAGTATATAACATAACGTTAAAGTTGTTTAACCTGCTTAATGTATTTTCTCACATTAAACTCCTACGATGAAAGAAAGTGCTTTTGATCGTAGTATTAGTAACGTTACGTCAGGCAAACGATTTCAAAAAATTGTCAGGTTAGCATAGCATTGCTCTTTTTTGTAAACAAAAATACATTCTTTCTTTTAAAACAGTTACTGTGAATTCTCCATCACGTCTAATTAATGTATACACAGTACCGCACTAAAATAGCAGAGCTCAAGCACATAAACAATATTTTTTACCTGAAAATGTGGGTTCTCGCTGTCAGCAAGAGCGTATCCAAAAGCAACTTCCTGTTGGGGCCGGAAGCAGAGCTGTGACATCAGAGCGACGCGGAGGTCAGAAGACCTCTCTTACAGCCATCTTGGATCCTGTGCCCTGAATAAGTGAGTGCTTCTGTGTTACATCTACTGTCATCCAACGCTGTTTTGACGCGTTTGACCTCTGGTTTACTACTTGTATTGATGCTTTAGTGTTCCTCTGTGCTGAACGGTAAAGATTTATTTATTTGGCTTGATTGTTGAGGAAATATCTTGATGAACACAACCGGTGGACTGTTCAAAATGGGGGAGCGAGACGCGCCGTCGCTCGCTGTGTGCGAGGAATGTCTAACGAAACGTTCAAATCATACGAAATATAGTTTTATAAACGACTAGAGCGATATTTCGGAAAACTCTTCAATGTAATGACAAAAAGAACTTGCTTTGTGTGCGTCAGTAATAATCAGTCATTGGAAAGTTGATCTCGCCTATTAAACATAATTTATAAACATACAGAGGTACACATGTCAAGGTAACATTATATTATGAAATATCAAAAACTAATTTCCTGCTGTCTGCGTTGTTTTGTTATTATTTGGGTAGTGTTTGCTCTGATAGAGGACAGTGCTGCTCTGTTATACACGTGAAATGTGCATCACTCTACACGCGCACCTATGAACAGCCTGTAAAACAATGCTTTTGTGTAGTTATGATATTGAATATGCTATATTATGTGTTTGGGTTTTTATCAAACTCACAGTTTCCGTACAGTGGACTTGTGAAATGTTATCATTCGAGCTCGATACTTGATCAGATGTGAACACAGCAGTGGGTTTAATTCAAGGTGGCTGTTAACAGCTGACAGCAGAGGCCTAGTGTACTGCACACTTTGAATAGTTGTATCCACATGAGCACAAAGCACAGACTAACACAAGTCTAAAACATGTTATTGACTTAATTTTTTGCAAAACTTGTAATGTTTGTGTATTGTTTGTTTATTTCTGTTGCAGTCCAGAATGCCAGGCGAAGCCACAGAAACTGTCCCTGTTACAGAGCAGGAGATGCAGCAGCCCCAGGCTGAGACGGGTTAGTACTGCTTTTAAATGTGCATGTCTGACTAAACGAACACGGGTTGTGCGAGGAGTCCTGGAGCTATAGCGTTCATCCTTTTGGCAGTTTTTTATTTAAAAAAAAAATAAGGCAGGTACTGTAAGTTTGATCAGTCTATTTTTATGGTGTTTTTGCATCTGTTTTAGATTTTCTGCAGGGTTTTTTTTAATGGTCCTCTACCAGCTGTTGTAGAAACTTCACAAAGCGAGTTTCTCTAATTGGAGTGGTGACATGTTTTTTTGTAGGGTGGGGATGCTGTTCGAGTCAGATTTCTCCAGCTAGAGGTTTTTAGGTTAATGTTTTTGAGCCCCTCCCTGGATTAAAAAAAACTGCACTAGTTCTGGCAAAGGGATAGTTCAGCCAATTTTTGTTGATTCAAACCTGTATGGATTTCTTGTGTGGAACACAAAAGAAGATATTTTGGAGAATGTTATTGACTTTAATTTTACAGACAAAAAAACAGGATTTATATATATATATATATAATTTAT